CAAACTTCCCAAAGAGGAAACTAGGAATAAGATGCAATTGCACCTCGCAAAAATAATCTTTCCAATTCCAAATTATGTAGTTTTGACACCAATTGTTTTCTAAAGAAAACATTGAATTCACATTGAGAATGTAATTTCCACAATAAGAATGCAGATATCCGAACATGCAATATTTGTTACTCCAACATTTGCTATATTTTCTTTTTGCAACAAACCAAACAACCTTGTAAGCTGATTGACATTCTCAAGTGTCCAGTGAGCTTGTCGTTGCCTAATTGGAGTAATAATAAAGAGTTCTGTTGAACAATTTGTTGGAGATTGAACCATTAAGCTTGTTATCTTCCAGATACAAGGCTGAAAGTTTCTTCTAGCTGAAGAGTCCAGAAGGGTATAACTCCAGCAAAAGAGTTGTAGCCTTTGCGCTCGTGCCACTTTCAGTTCAGAAGGTAAGGCATTGTTTGATTGCATTTACTTTGAAGGAAAAAGTTGGAAAGTTCAACAAATTGTGGAGTCTACAGGTATATTTTCCAACTTTTCTTTGTTTGCATCTTTGAAAAGCATGAAAATGCTTATGTGGCACTGATGACTTCCCAAACCTCCAGATTTTGGTGAAAGTTAAAAATTTTGTCAGAAATCCCATGAGATACAATCCAAATAGACGATATACTCAAGCGATAAGTGCTAATGCGTATATCCACTTCCATATTGCGTCATAAGGCCCCAGGGATTATTTTTCTCCAGAGAAGGTAAAAAAAAGAAGAGGAAAACAAATTCTTTATTGGTGTTTTCTTCATCTATGTCTATGAGTGTCTGTATGAAAATCAGATAAAATTGTTTTTAATTAGTTCTACTAGACTATGAGATCATTATTCCTAATTCATTGCAACTTTGGACTTTTATTATAGGAAAAAAGATTTATGTTGGTATTGAAACAATCTATATTCAAATCCATCGAAAATTTATTTTAAATGGGCTAAAAAAGATATTGTTGCATGTAATCCATGTACAGATCTATGAAAGTGCCTCGCAACCTATGGTACATGCTAGAGTATAAAATGATTGACCGTCACAATTTTAGATTTTTTATGTAATGAAAGTGACTTAAGAAATCAATTAAAAAACCTGATTTTGTCGGTAAATGACCTGTAGTTACCGGATGAAAGATTTCAAATTTAATTTATGATAACTGGTATGAGAAAGACGTATGGCCATAGTCCAGATTAATATGTGATAACTACTTTTTTTTTATTAACATGAAATATAAACCGTAAACCATTATAATCGTCAAAGTTGGTACCCCTAAAAGGAGAATTATACCAATTAGACCCGGTTCATGTCATTAAATGCGTACTAAAAGACATCGCTGTATCAGTACTTGGATCATCAGAGTTTGTAATTTTGTGTACTATCACCAGCGGTTGGATGTCCTTGGCATGCATTTAGTGGCCATGGGTCACGCCCATACTTCTTGCTATGCTTGGCAAATGAGTAGCTCAGCGTTGCAGAACGAGTAAAGCATGAAATCCATAACATTACATCCGACAAGAAATACAGTAAGCTCTCAGGTACCTACCTCCTAGTACTAGACAAATGTTTTTTCTCATGTTTACTCACATTCCAGAAGTTCTTGCTCTGTTCTCTGTCTCTCTTGGGTTTGTAATATATAATTGGTGTCTGATCCTCATTCTTTCAAATTTGCTCGAAGGAGCAGGCTGAGAACGTTTCCTTTTATCAGTTTTACGTGCATTTTTCGCTGGACAACAACATCTTGAGATCACTGCCTCAACAATGATGGCCAGTGATATGGCAATACTGAATCCACTAAGAAAAATAACGATCAGAACGACAATTGACACCGTATTTGGCTCCATCTCTGGAGAAGTAGGTACTGCTTCTGGAGAAGTAGGCACTGCTTCTGGAGAGGTAGGCACTGCTTCTGGAGAGGTAGGCACTGCTACTGGCTTTACAAGGCCATTATTCCCAGAATAAGTGACATTAACAAAATGAGGAAAATTTGGAAGAGTTCCAGATAGCTCATTATTTGATATCACAAGTAGAGTCAAGCTTTGCATTTGAGTTAAAGAAACTGGAACCTCGCCTGTGAAATTGTTATTCGAGAGATCAAGAATCTCCAATTGCCCCAAAGAACCCAAATGTGGATGTATCGGTCCACTTAACCGGTTATTGCTTAAGCTCATTGTTACCTAGCTGTAGTTCTATCAGATAGCTCAACTCGTTAATGTTACTCGGTATTGGACCAGAAAGTCTATTAACCGCCAGGTTTAGGTTAGAGAGACGCGATAAGCTTGAAATCGATGAAGGCATTTCCCCACTGAGGGAATTCTGGCTAAGATTCAACGTGATCAAGTTCCCCAGCTTAGAAAATTCAGTTGGAATCTCTCCGCTCAGACTGTTATTTTGAAGCTTCATGATCACTAGCTGACTAAGATTAGCCAATTCCTTTGGTAAACTACCATTTAACTGATTACTGGCAAGATTTAGAAGTGTTAATTTCTGACAAATTTCCAATTCTGAGGGGATTTCTCCATCCAATTGATTGGTATCCAACTCTAGATAGGTCAGGTTAGACCTTTGCTGAAACAATGAAGGAACTTTCCCTGTGAGCTTATTTCCCCCGAGCCGGAGCCTGAAAAGACTTTGAGAAATGTCTCCGGGGATAGCTCCTTCAAGGTGATTCCAGCTCAAATCAACGTGCTCTAAAGTAGGAGATGATAGGAAATCAAACGGGATCCGCCCATCAAGAGAATTGTAGCTGAGGTCCAAAAAGTTCAGATGTCCAGTGAGCCCATCAGGAATCAAGCCAGTAAATCCATTTTGATTGGCAGCAAACCGCCTCAATCTCCGGATTGAGGAAAGATTTTCTGGAATTTTCCCCGTGAGATTGTTCGAAGAAAGGATGAGAGTTTCTAACTTAGAGAGCTCCCCAATCTCATCTGGAACAGACCCAGATAGATTATTCGTGCTGAGATCCAATGCGGTGAGGTTCTTTAACTGAGATATGGAATTGGGTATTTCCCCCGAGAACTTATTTCCTGACAGAAGCAACTCCTCAACACCAACAAACAAAGGAATGAGTCCTTCAATGGAATTACCACTCAGGTCCAATGTTTTCAATCGACTAAGCCCGCTGCAATTTGAGAAGAAGGATGAGGAGGGTATAAACACTCAGGTCCAATGTTTTCAATCGACTAAGCCCGCTGCAATTTGAGAAGAAGGATGAGGAGGGTATAAAAGAAAAGGAGTTCAATGAAAGATTAAGAGACTGAAGAGAGCTAAGCTCGCAAATAAGCTTGAAGAAAGCAAGAGCAGAGGAATTATCAGTAGATGAAGTTGTAAGGCCAAAGCCTGAGAGTGAGAGGCCAGTTACATGAACAGGGGTTGATGAGCTACAACTGACACCGGTCCAATTACAGGGTTTTTGATTGGTCGTGTTCCAATTCTTGCCGTTTGATGATGGAGGGAGATTCTTAGAGAGATTGAACATGATGCTCATATCATCCCCATAAACTAAGAAAACTTGAAGGAAGAGGGAAATGCAAGCATACCTCTTCATGCTGCTTGAATTTGAACTGTACCCTTTTGATCTTTTGCTGTAAATTTTGGCTTCAGATCGTATTGAGGAAGAGGAGAGGGGAGTTTACACGGGTGAGTCTTTTTAAAGACTTGGCTTTTGCTTTTGCTTCTGCTTCTCTCTTTTCTTACCTTGGGATGATAGAACGAAAACTGGGGAAAGAAGAGAGCTTGAATTTGAAGAGAGGAGATTGGGTGGAGTCTTGTGGATTTTTCTTCTTCGCGGGTCCATGCTTGACTGACCGAGCAGAGATTTTCTAAATTCGTTAAACTGCTGGGGGCTATGCTTGACTGACTGAAATAGAGATTTTGGAGTTCTGGCAATTAGTTAAAATAATTGCGCTATTTTTCAGAAAATCATTGACGTGATTGAATAATATAGTCTCTGATAATTGCCTGTTCTAGTCTATTTACATGCATAATGGAAGTCATTTTCCTTGCGAATAGTTGACTTGTGAAGTCAATAGTTAAAGGGTTAATCACGAACTGATCCTCTGTAATATCATCAAATTACAAAGAGATATACCGTGGTTCTATTTATTGCGAATAGATTCTATGCAGTTCCATTTGTTGCAAATAGACACCCTGCAGTATTGGCCCAAGTGCAAATACACCCACCTAGTAAACTCTTTGGACTATTTTAAAGTAAAAAAAATTCGCAATTGTTTATTTATCCTCACCAATAGAACTATAGGCATCTCCTCAAACATTTTTAACGACCTTAAAATTAATAAAAATACATTCAATGGGTCTATTAGCAACAAGTAGAACTGTAAAAGGTCTATTAGCACAAATAGAACTACAATGAGTCTCTTTACAGTTCCGCGATATTAAGGAGGTCTGTCCATGATTAACCACTAGTCAAAATAAGTGAGTTCTTTTTTAGAAAATAATTGACGTTGTTGAATAATATAATATGATAATTGTCTGTTCTAATCTATTTAAATGCATGAAAGTTAATATTTTGCAAATGAATATAACATTCCATTCATACTTGAAATGGCTATCAATTAGCAAAGGGTTTTTTTTCATGGAAACCACCTTATAAATAGGGTCATTTTATTGAAACCACCTCTTATTTTTAATTTATTGTTTTGTTTTGGAGTTAACTAAGGGAAGGGACAGAAAGTTAAATAATGGAAAGGAAAGGTAAGGAATAGATGTAAAATAAAATAAAATGTTGTTTGAAAGTTTAGTTAGGGGAACGGAAGTGAATTTGTTTTACATTGTTTGGGAGTTCTAATAAAGAGGAGGGAAGTAAAGTGAATATAGTCAAAGTTACATAAATATCATTGAATGTGAATGCATCTTGGTCATAGATTTTAGTCTAAAAAGGGTATAGTTGTTTTATTACATTGTAAAATTTTACACCCGTTTCCATTACTTTCTCTACCACCCAAATTGGAGGGGGAAAAATGGATACAAATTTAACCTTTCATTTCGTCCTCTAACCCCTCAAAAAAACTCCCAAACGAGGTGAAAACAAAAATTTCACTTTAACTTCCATTGATTCACCTCCATTCAAACACATTGTATATGTAAACCACTTTTAAACTAGGTTTTTGCTCCAATCAACCACCCTCCATCAAAATTTTCATTGAAAACCCAAAAATACCCTTTAAAAAGCTCACATTCAAGACATGTGACTCACTTTGTTAATGTTTAAGTCTAGTTATGATACAAGTCATGTACTTTAAAACATGCATTTGTTAGTGTTATTTTTTATTTTTTAGTGAAGATTTGAGTAGGAGGTAGTTGATTGGGACAAAAACACATTTTAAAGATTATTTACGTATACGAAAATGAAACGTAATTTGTGTGAAGTGGCCCTATTTTAAAGTTGGATTTTTGGAGGGGGGGGAAACCCATAAGGGGGTGTTAGTCAGCTAGAAAATTTTTGATAGAAATGGAACAATTTTTATTATGGGATAATTTTTTAATATGGGATATTTTAATGGGATAATTAGGAGTGATATTTTAAAACATGATATTTTAGTGGGACAATTGTTAGTATAATTAAGGATAATTTTCAGAAATCAATAAGCATATAAGTCATGTATTTTGATGATCATACTACTATTTATACATTTTAAAACTTATTATTATTATTATTTTAGTATTAATTAATCTTGAAGAACTATTAGATAGATTATAAAATTAACTTTTTGATTTTTTTGGAATTATTATTGTAATATAAATTAAAAAATAGTTTTTTCTTTTTTCTCTTTCTTTTTTGATCTACTAGACATCATTCCATCATCTCTCAATTTTAATTAATTTTTAATAAAACATGAAGTTTGTAATTTTTAAATTTAAGTTAATTATACAATTCAAATATTTAATAAAAAGTAAAAATAACATTAAATAGAAGGGAATGATAAGAAGAGATGTGATCCAATTTTATGGTGTGGTTTGAAGATGACAGAGAAATGAAATATGAACAAAAAAGTAAATAATAAAGTTCTAGTTTTTTACCATGTAGTTCTAGCTTAAAACTTGGGGCAATTTGAGAGACTAGAACTCTTTGTTTTCTATATAAATTTGACAAAAGTGAGATAATTTTTTACAAATATCTCAGCTTTACTTTTTATCTAGTTCTTGTTGACTAACAATGTAGAATTTTATCCTAGTTCTAGTTCTAATGGACTAACACTATAAAATATTGTTACACAAACTATCCCAGTTCTAATTTTGAGCTCTATTTGACTAACCCCCTAAAGTGAATTGTAGACTGTATAGGGATCAATGGGCTAAACTCTATTTGGAAGGACAAACTGAAAGGGGATTAGCCTGACTAGACCATTAACTTGGGAGTCATCGAAGTAAATTGATTTGATGCGTGGAAAAATCCTCATCTGGTCCGTATGAAGAAAATAGGGAACTTCTGTGTTGTTGTTCTTTCAAAAAAAACTTTTTAATTATTTATTTAATAGTTTTTTAATTAATATCGTTCTAATTAGCCAGTTTAGTTGGGTCACATATTTCAGCCTTCGAAAAAGAAAATTGAAAAAAAGAAAATTGCAAGATACCTCATAGAACAATACCGTTGATTAGTTGAGAGGAAATAAATTTGCGAAGGCAAATAATGTGAGAAACTTAGTAGTTGTCTGGTTGAGTTGAAAAGGCAAAAGCAAACGTTGTAGTCATAGCTAGTTTGCAATAAAATGATGCAATTTTGAAAAAGGAATAATGACCAACTTCCCTCAAGTACTGATGAGCTCTCAACTTTTTCCTTAAGGTACCAATTTATCCATTTTCTTTCTTAAATTATGTTTCCAGATCTAGTGTGGTCACTTTATGAGCGAGCAATCAAATATTTAACAAATAACATGACAGTATTTATTGCATATCTCCATGGATTTTTATTATCCTATATCATTTTTTCTTAAAAAAAAACTCAACTGCTTCTCCCCAATTTTTTTTTTTACTTTTTTATCTTTTTATTTTTAGGAATTCAAGATCATGTTTTGAATTGTGGAAAATGCAAGAAATGGATTAAAAATCTGTCATGCCATTATTTTATTAAATATTTGTCTGTGAGGTAAGAAAATTACAATGTTGAGCCTATGCACATAATTTAAGGGGGGAAATTAGACAAATTGATACTTTAGGAGGATGTAATTGGAGTAGTACCACATTTCCGTTTGTTGACAGAATGTTTCTACTTCGTAGTAATAGTCAAATAGCCATTCAAATCAACGATCAAATCTAACGTTTTGACGCCTTTTGAGTGCATATGTAATGTTATGAACCATGGATACTTTCTCCATCTATGGAGCTTATTATTACCTATTAGTGTTATGTTAGATTAATTTTGTCAGAAATTGGACAATTAATCTTGTCGCCTTCCAAATTCAATGTTGAAAACTTCCCTCAAGCTGAAAAGTTCAGAAGGTAAGCTCCGAAAGGGGAGTTGTTGCCTTTTTACATGTGATCTCTTTGGCCTTTTTTTAACTGAAATGCAAAATTGACCATATTTTTAATTCCGCTTAAGAGATCTTTAATTGATTATTTTTTTCAGTGAAGGGGCACAAAGGAAAAAACGTTTCCTCGCTTTTGTTTCCTTTCTTCCCCCGTCAATATCCATACAAGCGCGTGTATAAATGTTCCTATAATCCTATCTGATATCTGGGCTTGCTTTCCTCGTATATATAAGCAATAAAGACAAAAATACTGGGGAGTAAATATATTGGGCCCCAGTCTTCTTCACCTTTCCGTGTGTATCTCTTTAGGGGTTGTTTGGTTCCTGTTTTTGGAAAGGGAAAGCAAGGAGGAAAACTGTCAAAAAGCTAACATTTTGACAGCTTTCTTCCCTTTTATCGATCCAAAAAAAGGGATCCAAACAGCCCCTTATTGCTTCACGAGTTCCTCAAGGACACTCGTTAATGAATTCCAACGTATTTTAATTCTTTACGAAAGTTTTTGAGTTTTTAATGTGAGAGAGGTAACTCTTAAGAAATCCATTAAAATCTGACTGGCGGCTAAAAGAAAAATGCAGATAGATGATTAAAGTTTCTAAATCTAAGACTAATCCAATTCCAATAGTGCTTTTTTCCTTCTTGCAATTTACAATATATATATTCATAAAACCATTATAGTCAACAAATTAAATTTGGTACCCCTCTAAAAGGATCAGCCTTTGGAATGTTCAAACTCCTTTTTCATAATTGTTCACATTATTAAACTTGAATTAGCCTGAAAACCCCCAAAGCCAATGAAAACTTGAAGGTAACTGGAGCCAAGACCAAGACGACATCCATTATTATGCTTATTATGCTCACGTGTTGGATTTGGGTGTGAAGACCAAACCTCGATTCAGGCGAGGGCAAGCTCCAGTCGGTGAGGTCAGATCGAGCTCGAGCCCAGGCGACGTCGACGCAGATCAGGCGAGCTCGTGGCGGTCGTCAGGTGACCTCAAGGCAACCTCCAGGAAAGCTCGTGCGGGGCTGCAGGCGAGCTCGAGGCGACTTGATGCAGGCAAGGTTGAGGCTCCTTGCATGCGAGGTTGGGGGCATGCAGGAGAGCTCCTTGCATGCGAGGTTGAGGCTCCTTGCATGCGAGGCTGGTGACAGCATGTCGCTAACCCGGTGCTAGGGTTCACCTATAAAAGGAACCCAAGCCCGAGATCTTGGGCGCTTCTCCTCCTCCTCGTCGCGTTTTTCTCTTCCAACGGCGGCGGTTCTCTCTCTCTCTCTCTCTCTCTCTCTCTCCTCTTTCTACTTCAACTCACGTGATTTTGAGGAAGGAATTAAAGAAAAGGGGATTTATTGAGGGGTAAATCAAAGAGGGGTATTTAAGAAGGAAATTATCACTGTAGCTACAGTGATAATTGTCATTTATTGAGAGATCTTGTCTTGCATTTTAATTTCTTGTTAATTAATAAGAAATTAATTGTGTGACTCCTGAGGACGTAAGAAACTTTGTTGAACCTCGTAAATCTTGGTGTATTTTTCTTTATACT